AAAGAAAAGGAAATCCTGTTGCTTTCAACAAAATAGAATCAACTGGAAAACATTATACTTAGTCAAATAAGCCAGACCCAAAAAGACAAATACTGTATGTTCTCCCTGATCTGTGGTAACTAGTGAGTACCTAAAATGTAATCTATAGAAGTGAAATTGACACTTTGACATATAATGACTTTAAACAGCCCTTGTCTCCACTTCTGAGGAACAGGTTGTTTGTTTATTTTTTTCATACTATTTGTTGAACTCTGTTCTTAGTGTAGGGTTAACCTTCTATGTATAAAGTTAATTGAAAACAGATCTTAGTAAAAAATAATGGGTACAGGAGAGGGAGGACGAAGAAGGGTGGGAGTGAAGGTGGGAGGAAGGGTAGAGTGGGAAAAATCACTATGTACCTAAATTTGTATTTATGAAATGCATCAAGCTTGTATACCTCAAATAAAAGGTTTTTGGGGAAAAAAACAAAAGAATTCAGTGGAAATAGCATTATATGTATCATAATTTTGGTGCAAATCTGGCACTCATTATACATGTTAATTTTACCTATAAGCATTTTACCTGTAAGCATATTAAACATGCACACAACTGTTAAATATTAAAATCTGCTGTGTTAGGTCACCAAGGGGTCCAGGTTGAACTTTAATACTAAGCAAAAAAAAAAAATTAAGTTGATTTTTTGGCATCTACACACACTTCAAGATAAGACAAGCATAATTTAATAAAAAATCAAAAGATATAGTCACAATTCAATTAGACTATCCAATCCTGAAGCTAATAGCAAGCCTTGACCTGCAGTTAAATATTAACAAGAACATAGTACTTATTATGTATTGATTTTTGTCTCAAATTAAAATAACTTGTTAAATCATAACTTCAAAACATCAACTGATCACTAATCTCAAGCAGGCCCTTAATGTTGCCCAGCTGTTATATACAGTTCCCAAATCTACCCACTTTTCCATCCTCTGGGATTACTGTTTGACACTTTCATCCTCATCTATCTCCCAGGCTGCCTTTTTTTTAATTCTGAAGAAAAAAATTACAGATTAGTTTAACATCATATATGCTAAATATTACTGCAGTAAATATGAGAGCTGTTTTGGTTTATTCATTCCATTTTAATGTAAAAAGATGTTGTCAAATATGGTCTATCTGGAATAGTTTAGGTTCACTCTGACCTAGGTCAAATATATAAAGTAGCCTGTATTAACATGTTTGGAAAACAGCTTTTAAAATATTTACTATGAGGCACATTAAAAAAGATATAATTTTGAGTATTTAAAAAGCTGATATTTACATATGTAAAAATGTATATGTACAAATCCTGAAAACAGATACCACAATTAAGTAGATTTACTTTTTAAGGTTATCTAAATTCTATTTAGGACAACTGATTTTTTTAAGACAAGTCTTTTTTGTTTATTTTATTATTATCTTATTTATTTGAAAGGCAGAGTTACAGAGGGATAAATGAGAGAGAGAGAGAGAGAGAGAGAGAGAGAGAGATATCTTCCATCTGCTGGTTCATTCCCCAAACGGCTGCAACGGCCGGGACTGGACCAGGTCAATGTCAGAAGCCAGGAATTTCATCCAGGTCTCCCATGTGGGTACAGTGGCCCAAGGACTTGGGCCATCCTTTGCTGCTTTCCTAGGCACATTAGCAGGGAGTTGGATAGGAAGTAGAACATTCGAACAGGTGCCCATATGGGATGCCGGCATTGCAGGCGGTGGATTTACTTGCTGCTATGCCAAAATGTTGGATCCAGAACAACTGATTCTTACAAAGATGATCTTTCAGTAGCCTAATAACTGATACTATAAATCCCAAATCTAAGAGAAACTCTATAAAATTTAATATTAGTATAGTAAATAAACTATTCATTAATAGGTGAAGCTCATTTTTAGAGTTAGCAATAACTAAGAATACAGTTAAGTTTAAGAGGCTATAGCCAATAATCTAAAATTTAACTCTTTGTAAATAATACAGGGGAGGCATTGGGCACAGCAGCTAAAATGTTGCTTGGAGGCCTTGCCTGTCATATCAGATTGCCTAAATTAGAGTCACAGCTCTACTCCTAATTATAGCTTCCTGCTAACGTACACCCTAGAAGACAGCAGAAGATGGCCGAAGCAGTGGGTCTCTGCTAACCAAGTGAGAGAGATGAACTGTGTTCCCAGATCTTGGCTTCAACCTGGCCCTGCCTGGCCATTGCAGGCATTTGTGGAGAGAACCAGCAGAAGATCTCTGAACCTCCCTCTTCCTCTCTCTGCCTTGGAAATTATACAACACTACTGTGGATGAAGGAAACTTTTCTGTTTTGTTAAATGTATATAACTAGTCTAACTAAACAAACATAAATTGACATATACTATTTTATAATATGCTAGATATATATAAAAAAAAAACCTCCCTTAAGCTAATTTTCTTCTAGCGGAATAAAGTTTCAACAATCTAGGAAAGAGAGGCAGAAAATTTCCCAGTACCACAGGATGAAAAATGTAAACATCTGAATTATCGGAAAAATATTAAAAACTTACAGATAACAGTAAATATGGAAAATGTCATCTTTTTTAAAGAAAAGACAAGGGGAAGGGCATTTAGGGAACTGAAGTCTTAGATCCTCAATGAATATTAAGGATTTAATAAATTATATAAATACAGGGGCCAATTTCTATTAGATTTTTGTCTACTATATCTTGACTATCTACTAGGTATTAGCTTCATCTTTATTTCTGAACTTTCCAAAAAAGAAAGGCCAAATAAGGAACCAAGGCCCCCTATGAAGCTAAGTGGAAAACCACAGAAGTTTCTGCTTTTTCATGTTAATCATCAACCATTTCTGAGAACAACAGAAGCTGAAAGTAAAAAGAATTACAAGTTGAGACTTTAAGCCCTCAAATCTAGGGTAACAGAGATGGGAGAGAACAAACTTGTAGGCCAGCTTGTGTTATGAAACTTAACTTCTGTTTCACAAAACTTCACTGGTAGCTAGATCTAGAAACCTACCAACCCAGCAGGCTGAAGCTTGCATTTGAAAACAATTTGCTCAAATCAGCTTGATGTTATTCTTTCAAATAACTACCAATATCTAAAGATACATGTACTGTGTGTCTATATACAAGTACAAATGAGATTTATCATATCTAACTGGCCTAAGTCATCAAAGATGACTTCATTACCAAAAATTGTGATGTTTGGAAAAAAAAAAACACTAGTCATGTCCTAAAAATAGATAATGGTGCTGACTATACAATTGTAAATACAGTAAAACCAATGGAATTTTATGATTTAAATGGCTGAGTTTTATAGTATGTAAATTATCTCGATAAAGCTGTCATAAAAAAGTCAGAGAGAAAAAAAGCCTTTCTTACTTACTGGTCAGTACATTCTCATGACCAAAGTTATGCAACAATTTTGTTGAATAATTTGGCTTTCAGTATTTTCCTACTTCTAACATATTACTACTATGAAGTCTAAAAAATTCTAACAGTTTGAAAACATGTATCCTAAGTCCATAAAATGCCCAGACTAAAGAAAAATCAGTCAGTAAATAATGTCATTAATTCAATGAGAAAGAGAAACAGACACATCAGGGGAGGAAGTGGCAGGAGGGAAGCAGAGAAATACAGGCTGAGCACCCCTAATGAGAAAATCTAAAATGCAAAATATTTTAAAATGCGAGACCTATTGACTGCCAATACAACACCACTAATGGAAAATCCCACACCTGACCTCATGTGGCAGGTCATAGTCAAAACAAAGGGAACACCAAAAACACTGTAAAAATTTACCTTCAAGTTATGTGTATAAGACACAAACAAACATAAATAAATTGTGTTTAGACTTGGGTCTCATTCCCAAGATATCTCATAGTGTATGTTGAAATGTTCCAAAATCTGAAACATTTCTGTCCCAAGCACTTCACATAAGGGTTTCTCAACCTGTACACAGCTAAAGAGCCTCAACTCACTTTCTTTTTTTCCACACAACAGACTCCTAAATACTCAAGGGAGCCAAGAACTTACTATCACCTAGGTAAGAATACTCCCAAGGAGACACAGATTTCCCATTAATGACTTAATGATACTTGGCAAAGAAAGTCAATGAATGAAAGCAAAAGAACTGAAAGGAACCAGCTCAAACTGGTTCCTCCAATACAGAACTGCATAATCCTCCAATACAGAACTGCATAATCAAAATGTCTTGAGAGTTAGGCCTAAAAATTTGGATTTTAATCAGGCTATAGGTTATTCTCCTCCCCTGCTCCCCGCCCCCCAGATGTATTTATTTACTTGAAAGGCAGAGTTAGCGGGAGGAAACAAAGAGAGAGAGAGATCTGCCATCCTCTGGTTCACTCCCCAGATGGCCACATAGGAGCCTGAAACTCCATCCAATGTGGGTACAAGGGCCCAAGCATTTGGGCATCTTCCACTGCTTTCCCAGGAGCATTAGCAGAGAGCTGGACACGAAGTGGAGCAACCAAGATTGTAAATTATGGCATACACGTTATTCTTAAAGCCATTCAAGTTTGAAATCCTTTCTATCCATTGTCATCAGTGGTTTGGCAGTCCTGTTTCTCCATTAATAATTACATTTTGTCTGCTTTGGCAAAGGCCTTTAAGGGGCAAATACTGCTTCAAGCATTAACTAATGTTAAAAGAAAAATTCTGTGTCCTTAATATAGATCACTTTATCCTCCATGAAACTTTGACCAGTGTTTTTCAGAAGGCTGCAATTTAAAGCCTGGAGGTGAGGGATAAAGGCTTACGTTAAGAAATAGGGATGGAGTCATGGAGAGAAAACAGTTTTCTTATTTTTTTATCATTGAAAACGCAAATGAAAAGCAAGTATATTGTTCTGCTTAGTAGACAAAGGATAGAAAATATGTATTCTGTATTTTCATAATGCCCAATTAGTTTAGTTTTACATAAAGCCTTTTGAAAAACCTACTTTCCTGAATTACAACTAAAAATGAAGGTTTTTAAGAGAACATTACCATTTGGTGCAGTGGGAGGTGACCAAATGCCATAATATTTTGGCAAATATTTTCGTAGTTCTAGAAGAACACTGTCACTACAATCAGCAGCATACACCTGGAACAAAAATATAACGCTTGTTAGTTTCTCATAACATTCTATTTAATAGCCCTACATATTTCTCAACAAATACAACTGAGTCACTGTTCATGTGGTATAAGTTTTCAGCTGGAAGTAAATTTGAATTAAGTAAAAGAGATGATTGTGTCTCTAGTAAAAAAAAAAAATATGTATTATCTGCAGAACACTCCTTTGGCTATCTAATTCCAGGCTTTCACTGTCCTTGAACTGTTTTACAACTGTGAAAGTTGCAATAAATGATAACAAATGCAAAATAATTCTTGTCCCTAACATGCAAATAATTCTGGCCATAGGAGATGCAGGTGACTTCCTTCCATACTCCAAAGGAAGAGGAGAACTTTGTATACAAATCTAAATTCATATCATCTTCTTTCTATTCCATATAAATTTGCGCTTCCTTCTCTTCTCTTTTAAAACAACTGTAACAGAGCCAGCTCTGTGGTATAGAAGGTTAAGCCTCTGCCTGCAGTGTCAGCATCCCATATTGGCTGCTCCACTTCAATCCAGCTCCCTGCTAATGCACCTGGGAAAGCAGCGGAAGATGGCCCAACTACTTGGGTCCCTGGGAGACACAGAAGAAGCTCCTGGCTCCTGGCCCAGCCCCGACTGTTGTGGCCATTTGGGGAGTCAAACAGAGGATGGGAGGTCTCTCTGTCTCTCTTAGTCTCTCCTCTCTATATCTCTGCCTTTCAAATAAATATTTAAAAAAAAAAAAACAGCTGTAACATCTGCCTAGTTTCCTCATTAAATATATTAAGTTAAATACATGTTTATATCAATAAGGGAACTGATTTTCACCTTTTTAAAAATATTACCCTTCAACATAGTAAGTTTAATTTTTGCACACTTAATTCCTTGATTTATAACCACTAATGATTCTAGAAGATGCTAGAAAATTCTAGATATCCTGGAGCCAGGTTCTAGTTTTATTCCCATAAAGTGAACAAAATATTTTTGTTTTAAAAATGACTTGTGGGGGCCGGCGCCGCGGCTCACCAGGCTAATCCTCCACCTTGCAGCGCTGGCACACCGGGTTCTAGTCCCGGTTGGGGAGCCGGATTCTGTCCCAGTTGCCCCTCTTCCAGACCAGCTCTCTGCTGTGGCCAGGGAGTGCAGTGGAGGATGGCACAAGTGCTTGGGCCCTGCACCCGCATGGGAGACCAGGAGAAGTACCTGGCTCCTGCCATCGGATCAGTGCGGTGCGCCGGCCGCAGCGCGCCAGCTGTGGCAGCCCTTAGAGGGTGAACCAACGGCAAAAGGAAGACCTTTCTGTCTCTCTCTCTCACTGTCCACTCTGCCTGTCCAAAAAAAAAAAAAAAAGACTTATGGGGAGGACAGCATTGTGGTGTAGCGGGTAAAGCTGCCGCCTGCAGTGACAGCATCCCATATGGGCGCTGGTTGAAGTCCCAGCCACTCCACTTCCAATCCAGATCTCTGCTATGGCCTGGGAAAGCAGTAGAAGATGGCCCAAGGCCTTGGGACCCTGCACCTTCGTGGGAGATCAGGAAAAAGCTCCTGGCTCCTTCAGATCAGCTTCGGATCAGCGCAGCTCCGGCTACTGCGGCCAATTGGGGAGTGAACCAGCGGATGGAAAACTTTCCCCCGCCATCTCCCTCCCTCTCCCCTCCCCCCTGTGTAACTATGACTTTCAAATAAATAAATAAATCTTTAAAAAAAAGTGACTTGTGGGGTAGATATCTGGCATAACAGTTAAGACACCACTTGGGGGAGGGGTGCTGTGGGGCAGCAAGTTAAGCAGCCATATGCAGTGCCGACCTCCCACATGGGCACTGATTCGAGGCCCTGCTGCTTCTGCTTCCAATCCAGCTCCCTGCTTATGTGTCTAGGAAAGCAGCAAAGGATGGTCCAAGAACTTGGGCTTCTGCACCTACATGGGAGACCCAGAAGAATCCCCTGACTCCAGGCTTCAGCCAGGCACAGCCCCGGCCATTGTGGCCATTTGGAGAACAAACCAGTGGGTGGAAATCTCTCTGTCTCTTCCTCTCTCTCTGTCACTCTGCCTTTCAAATAAATAAATCAACTGTAAAATATATGTATTTTCAATTAAAAAGTTTTCATTTTATTTAAAAGACAGTGACAGAAATAGATCTTGCGATCACTGGCTCATTCCCCAAATGTCCACATTAACCAGGGTGAGTCAGGCTAAAGCCAGGAGCTGAGAACATCTTTTGGGTCTCTCATACAGGTGGCAAGGACCAAAATACTAAAGCCATCACCTGCTTTCTCCCAGGGTGTGCTATTAACAGGAAGTTGGATTTAAACAAAGCCAAGACTCAACCAAGCATTCAAATACAGTATGCAGATATCCCAAGTGGCATCTTAACTGCTGTGCTAACACTCACTTCTAAATTTTTTTTTTTAAAGTAACAGGACTGCTGTTGACATTGTGGCACAGAAGGTTAGCCATATCTTACAAAGCCAGCATTCCATACAGAAACACTAGTTTAATTCTCAGCTGCTCCGCTTTTGATCCAGCTTCCAGATAATGAACGTGGGAAAGCAGGAAGTGATGGTACAAGTACTTGAGCCCCTGCCACCCATGCGGGAGGCTCCAATGGAATTCCTGGCTCTTGGCCTTGGCCTGTCCCAGCCTTAGCCATTGGGGCCATTTGGGGAGAGAACCAGCAGATGGAAGATTTCTTTCAAATAAAATAAATCTCTCTTTAAAAACTAACAGTACTGGTATTTATCTTGCCTGTCACGTTGCAGTAATCTAAAAGCCTTTCCACAAAGGTCAAACAATAATAAAAAGAGTGCAATAGAGGCCAGCGCTGTGGCATGGTGGTTAAGCTGCTGCCCGCAGTGCTGGCATCCCATATGGGTGCCGGTTCAAGTCCCGGCTGCTCCACTTCCTATCCATCTCTCTGCTATGGCCTGGGAAAGCAGTAGAAGATGGCTGAAGTTCTGAGCCCCTGCACCAGTGTGGGAGACCCAGAAGAAGCTTCTGGCTTCAGATTGGCACAGCTCTGGCCACTGCAGCCAATTAGGGAGTGAACTAGCGGATGGAAGACACTCTCTCTCTCTGCCTCTCTTTCTCTGTGTAACTCTTTCAAATAAATAAATAAATAAATAAATCTAAAAAAAAAAAAAAAAACTGTAACAAATATTTTCTTAAATGCATAGAATTCCAGGGGGCATGAGGTTCGGACAATCAACAAATCCTGAAAATGTTTGGGCTTCACAGTGGTTCACTATGAGGCCGTGAACCTTTGAAAGGACCCCTGAGCTTAGGGACCAAGCAGACCTGAGGACAGAGTTACTACACTAAAACATGGATAATAAATTTTAAAAAATCTTAAAAACTGAATAGTGAAAACTCTGACTTCCTTTTCCCTTCCCCAACCACTACAACACTTCAAGAATGCTGGCATGCCAGGCTGACTGAGAAAAACAGGGAAGCGGCAAATAAAAACAGGAAAGAAAAGGGAACGATAATTAGATTTAGCAGAAAGAGCAACAATAAAATATTACGAAGAACTCTGTCAAGTGGGTAATTCCAAATAAAAAACAAAATCGACTAGTTCAGGGGCCAGTGTTGTGGGGCAGCAGGTTAAGGCCACCTGCAATGCCAGTATTTCATGAGCAACTGTTTGAACCCAGGCTGCTTAGCTTCTGATCCAGCTCTCTCTGCTAATGTGCCTGGGAAGGTGGCAGATAATCCCCCAAGTTCTTGGACCTCTGCTACCCATGTGGAAGACAAGAATGGAATTCCAGGCTCCTGACTTTGGCCTGACACAGCTCTGGCAGTTGCTGCCATTTGGGGAGTAAATCAGTGGATGGAAGAGCTCTCTCTCTAACTTCACTCTCCTCCAAATCCTTAAAAAAAAAAAAAAAAAAAAAAAAGTTTCTTCCCTTTTCCTTTCTCTTCTACTATTCTTCTCCACCTAGAGGCTGACTTGAATTAACTGTATCAGTGGAGACCATTCCCGCTTGCCAATGGGAGCAGGTTCAAGTCCTGGCTGCTCCAGTTCCAATCCAGCTCCTGCTAACACACCTGGGAAAGCAGTGGAAGATGGCCCAAGGGCTTGGGCCCCTGCATCCAAGTGGGAGACCCAAAAGAAGCTCCTGGCTCCTGCTTTAGCTTGGCTTAGCCCTAGCCATTGCAGCCATTTGGGGAGTGAACCAATGTTTGAAAGATCTGTTTCTTCCTGTCTCTTTATAACTCTGCCTTTCAAACAAACAAACAAAAAATCATCTTTTAAAGATTTATTTTAGTGGGTTAACACCCAGCATCAGCATCCTATACAGGCACCAGTTCGAGACCCAGCTGCTCTACTTCTGATCCAGCTCTCTGTTATGGCCTGGAAGAGCAGTAGAAAATGCATCTGCGTGGGAGGCCCAGAAGAAGTTCCTGGCTCCAGATCGGCGCAGCTTCAGCCGTTGCAGTCAATTGGGGAGTGAACCATCGGATGGAAGACCTCTCGTTCTCTCTCTCTCTTTGCCTCTCCTTCTCTAACTCTTTCAAATTAGACTGCTAATATAAAAATAGTATATAAATATCTGTTTCATTCTTATATACTGGAAATCACTGGGAAACTTAATTATAAACAAATAGAATATACAATGAAACTAAGATACTTATAAGGAATACAACAATCTATGTATAAGACTTGTATAGAGGCCGGCGCCGCAGCTCACTAGGCTAATCCTCCACCTAGCGGCGCCGGCACACCAGGTTCTAGTCCCGGTCGGGGCGCCGGATTCTGTCCCGGTTGCCCCTCTTCCAGGCCAGCTCTCTGCTGTGGCCAGGGAGTGCAGTGGAGGATGGCACAAGTGCTTGGGCCCTGCACCCCATGGGAGACCAGGAAAAGCACCTGGCTCCTGGCTCCTGCCATCGGATCAGCCTGGTGCGCCGGTCGCAGCGCGCCGGCCGCGGCGGCCATTGGAGGGTGAACCAATGGCAAAGGAAGACCTTTCTCTCTGTCTCTCTCACTGTCCACTCTGCCTGTCAAAAA